TAAAAAAAACACACATACACATTCATTCTTTGCTACATGAATATAAAGCCACTGAAATGCTAGAAGGTGATTGAACTGGATGGAACACTGTTAAATACATGCTTAGCCTCATGTTATGGATCATTTCCATTGACATCTATCTGCATCCTTGGTACCGTTTAATTAAAGCTGTCTGGAACAAGTCTGCCCTCTAAATGATCGGCAGAGCAATGAAAAGGTGAAACACGAGGAGGCTTGAGGCCTTTTTTGTAAGGCATTCAAATGACTGTCTCTGTGGTTAAGGACAGCAGCAGGGAAGAAATTCGTTTTCAAAATTAGCTAGCCATTAGGCTTTTCTGTAAGAGAAGGCAAGGCTCCTTCTGATGTTATCTTAGAACACCAGAAACCAAGTCAGGTATACCAGACCTTAAAAACTCAAACTGAGCCATATTCTGGTCCAAAATAGATATCCTTTTTTTTTTTTTTGGTTCTAAAGCCGTAAATATAACAGCAAACTTTCTTATTTGTAGTTACTTTGCAAAATATAACCCCAAAATGGAACAATTTTGCCTAAAATAGTCCCTTTCTTCAGATAGTTTTGCAACTAGATGGCAGGAACACCATCTATTTAATTTGGTTTTACAGCATATAGAATACTAGCATGGCAAGTATAGCTTCAAATAAGATATTTCTTGAATAACCTTCATGTTTCCAGCACTGTTAAGCTTCTGGGGAAACAGTAAACAAAATATGGATCCAGGGCGTAAGAAATGTGGAACATACTTAAAAGATTGAATCTTAAATTAGCTAATTATACCTACTTCTTTTCTATAGTACTTTCTCTCCCCTTTATTATGATTTCATTTAAAGAGTTATAAATTATATGTGTTCTTCAATACCAGAATTAATTATACTTTATAAAAGTGTCCAAAGGACTGTGACATGTTTAAAATTTTCATTCATTGGCTTCTCCACGCAAATCTATCTGTCCTGATGTGGGCTTATCGTCTTCATTTAATATTTATTTGGTATCTACTTCATATATGACACTGAATTATACCCTGCATCCTCCTTCCCCCACCCCCACCTCAAATGACTTTGTCTCTCTCTGTCTGTTATAACATGTTCGTCCAGGCTGGCAAAAGGTAATAGTAGCACTAAACAGAAAAGCGCTCCTAAATCCACTTAGGATGATGTAGGAGTGCAGATCATCCTAGCCCTGATGCCCTGATAACAGGAATTAGTCAGACCTAGAAGATATTATATTGAAGCAAATAGGTCATAAGTTAAAGCCTATTAAGTAGGACAACACTTATTGAGTGACACTGTGCTGGGAACTCTGGGGAGCAGGAAACAAGCACAGGCATCCTCAACAAACTCAAAAATTGGGAAGATGTACACACTGAAAGTCACAAGGAATGATGGTGTCAGATAAGCAAAAACTGGAGACTATAGGGCAGGCAAAAGTGCCTAGCTGAATCCAGTTGTCCAGCTGTCCTCATTGAAGGCACCAGACATGTGAATGAAGCTGCCTTGAGCCCTCCAGACAAGCCAGCTACCAGATAAATTCCAGTGAGTAACTCTTGTTAATGCCACATGGAGCAGAACAATTGCTCAGCAGAATCTTGCCCAAATATCTGATTCACAGAATCAAGAAATATAAAACAGTGATGGTTGTTGTTTTAAGTCACTAAGTTTTGGAGTATTCTGTTATGTGGCAATATATAACTAGAATGGAGGCTGTGCCATAAAATGAATGTGTCATGGGCTTCCCTGGTGGTGCAGTGGTTAAGAATCCGCCTGCCAATGCAGGGGACACGGGTTCAAGCCCTGGTCCGGGAAGATCCCACATGTTGCAGAGCAACTAAGCCTATGCGCCACAACTACTGAGCCTACGTTCTAGAGCCCGCGAGCCACAACTACTGAGCCCACGTGCTACAACTACTGAAGCCCACGCGCATAGAGCCTGTGCTCTGCAACAAGAGAAGCCACTGCAATGAGAAGCCTGCGCACCGCAATGAAGAGTAGCCCTTGCTCTCCGCAACTAGAGAAAGCCCGCCCGCAGCAACGCAGCCAAAAAAAGTCCCAAAGCAGCCAAAAAAATAAAATAAATAAATTAAAAAAAAAATGAATGTGTCATGATAAGCCCCCAACTTAGAGTTATAGTAGTAGGAACTGAAGAGAGGCACATGTTTTGGGGAAAAGATCCTAAGTTTTCCTTTGTGTTTATAACGGGTTGACAAATTTTTTCTGTAAAGGACTTTGTGGGCTGTATGATCTCTGTTACTCAACTGTGTCATTGTAGGGCAAAAGAAGCCATAGACAATATGTAAATGAATTTGGGTAGCTGAGTTTCAAGAAAACTTTATTTACAAAAACAGGCTGCTGGCCAAAGTTGGCCATAGGTCATAGATTGCTTTCCCCTGGTTTATAATGTTTGAGATACTGAGGAAAATTTAACTGGAAATATGCTATATGTAGATGATACACAGGAATGGGGCTTTGTGACAAGTCAGGGCTGGAGATATGGATTAGAGAATAGATAAATATTTTTGAAGAGAGCCTAGGATACTACTGTTGTATCTTCTTAAGGATGCTTTTACTTTGTTATTTCTTTTAAATGATATTAGTTAGGATAGTTGGTAAGCACATTAGTGGGCTGAGGCATTACTTGAATCTTTAAGTGGTACCACTGAACCAGGGAATTTATAATCTGGAGACATCAGAGGACAAAATCAAATAGATTTTCAGATATATTAATAGTGGTCCTGGGTCCACTGTCAGTGGTTTTCAAATTTGTGAAATTTCAACCCAATGTATTTTATGAGTAAATTGGACTATTCTAGAACCATTTTTTCTAAGTGTGGCCAATATCATTCTAATTTTTATCACATTCATGATTTATTTGAACAGTATGAGTTTGGCAATACTTCTTGCTCATATTTGAAAAGCATCTATAACATTAATGTCCCAAGTATTTATATCCCAAACTATCTAGAAAAGTCAATGGTTGTTTTCCATAATTTATGATATATTGAAGGCATTTTATCATGCTATTTACTGTTATGTCATGGGAAAAGAGTGTGACCTTTGAAGAAATAAAACAAGCAGTTTTTTTAGTTCTCCTGCATATCTGCTAAGTTTATGGATATTTATTTTAGGCTTTATAAAAATTCTATCAGGCAGCTAAACAGTTTAGACTCACACAGCATGTCAATTCTATTAAACAAGGGCTCTTTACCCTTTCACCTATTGCCCTACGTGTGCTTGGTCCAGTGGCGCAACCATTCAGAACAAATACCAATGGTCTGCTTAAAATCCTTAGTATAAGGAGTGCAGGCTTGCTAGAGGGCTCTGGTGAATATTAAAAGGGGTTTTTATCCACTTAAGGCAAAGAATGGTTTGAACAGTTCTGGTTTTGGCCACAAAAAGAGCACCCTGGTTAAGAGGTGAAGGCTTCTTGTGGTTCCCGCATTTGATAAAGTACAGACCTTGCTGCCTTCCCTCATAGACCTGTGACCTCAAGCTCTGGCCTTTACACTTTTTTCCTCCTCCAGAGAGAAATGATGAGTAAGGTCCTTCTATTAGATATGTTAGCGGTTTGTGCTAAAAAGAGGATTTTAATAATATTGAATTGCAAAGAACTATGAAGCAAGGCTTTACTCTAGATACTAAGACAAACCAAGTTTAAGTTGGTGCCATAGCTCCTATGAAGGGCCATCTGTTTAGCTCTAATAGTATTTTCTTTTTTTTTTTTTTCCACCTTTGTAGCTTGGTTTCAAACCCTGTCTGGGACACTTGCTCAATGTGAAATGAGATTGGTGGGTCTCAGTCCATTTGTGGCTGGCTGAAATTTTCCATCTTCTTTTCCAGAAAAATGGTCCATAAGGAAATGAAGTGAAAAGAGTTAGATGTCACACGTGCATTCACGTGTAGGTGTACTGGAGGCCTAGATAATCTTCCTGTGTGAAAAGTACAATATAAATTCAGCACTGGTTCATTGGTTCATCCACTTTGCCTCTCAGCAGCTCTCTAACACCTGAGGTCTCCTGTCTCCTAAAGATGATGCAACTTTAGGGACATCTTTTTACTATTCTAAGCCACTGCATAATTTGAGCTGAGATTGTAACATTGCTTGAAATTGGCTGTGAATCGCTGCTTCATTTAAACAGGGATGGTGTATGAAAGTGGTATAGAGGTACATGTTATGAGCTTTTTTACATTATGTGAATAGATCTAAAGTCTCCATAAACAACAATGAAAGAATTTTCATAGTTTATGAGTAAACAGATTCGATGCCTTCAGACCATACATTACTCAAGAGAGAAAGTAGAACACCGTAAGTTATTATAACCCAAGGCAATATTGCCTTAAGGTGGTATGAATTTTGATTTCAAAAGTCAGTAGGGTCTTTTCCATATAAATTTAAAGCCATCAAAAATTTCACTGAACTTACTAAATACACAATTAGTTTCTTGTTACAGATAATTTCTATTGATTCAAATCTGGTTAGTCAGCATGGATTAATCAAAATCGTCAGGGATTGATATCTGGGTGGCTCAAGGGATCAGTTCCTGGGCTACAAGCCTTTCACCCCCAGGTCACTGTTTCTAATACTTAGAGGAGTTTTGAGAGGCCTGTTTGACAGTTGGTGTAAAACAAACCAGTACTTTGAACTAAGTCCTTCACATAGACTCATTGTCTCTTACATTCAAAGACACTGTCATGCTTGTCTGAGGGTATATGTAAGGTGAAAAATTATTGCATTATCAGCAGTGCTAGTTATTATTCATAGATATGTTAATATTTATAGTCTCCTATGGTAAACAACAATGGTTGCTATCTTCAAGGCCTGCTGTATCCAGTTATTGAATATTTATCTCTGTATGACATTTTCCTGCAAATGAAACCAGCTGATCCCTGATCGGTTGCCTCAAACTATTATATATTCTTTCCTTTGGAGAAATGTTTCTTTTCTAAAGATTGTATGTGTGAATTTCCTTCCTTTGTTTGCTTTTCAGGTCTTTTCTAAAGTGCAGGTTAGGGGCTTCCCTGGTGGCGCAGTGGTTAAGAATCTGTCTGCCAATTCAGGGGACATGGGTTCGAGCCCTGGTCTGGGAAGATCCCGCATGCCATGGAGCAACTAAGCCCGTGCGCCACAACTACTGAGCCTGCGCTCTAGAGCCTGCGAGCCACAACTACTGAGCCTGTATGCCACAACTAGTGAAGCCCACGGACCTAGAGCCCGTGCTCCGCAACAAGAGAAGCCACCGCAATGAGAAGCCCGCGCACTGCAACGAAGACCAAACACAGCCCAAAATACAAAAAACAAGTAAGTAAATTTATTAAAATAAATAAAGTGCAGGTTATAATGTTCTTATCTTTTCTCATTAAATAAAAACTCCAGGTCCAGGTCCTCCAGACAGATGGCTTCTCTGAAGAAATATTGTTCCTAGCAGTTCTTGGTTTAGATGATTATCCTTCACTCGCTTAGTCGTTAGGAGGCTTTTAATCTCAACCTGGGCATCCGTAGTGATCTGCTGGGTAGTGCATAGGCCCTGATCTTTGGCTACTTGAGCTCATCACACTAGGCCAAAGATCTGAAGGTGCTCTTTCCTTCAGACCTCAATGTGGCTGAAGCTCCTAATAGCCTTCTTTATTCAAGGTGAGTTAGGTAACCTTGTTTTCTAGATCTTTCTAGCTGTAGTACCATAGATTTTGTTGCCAGGGGCCAAACACCCTGTTTCTTTCCTGGCTTGGTTGAAAAATTGATAGAGTTTTATTACAAAGATATTAGCCATTCTTACTTAGAAGAGAAAGAAAGAACCCTGGTTACTCAGGACAAAAGAAAAGAGATTTTAGCTATCCTGGATTATTTATGAAGTTTTGTTGCTTTTCCTTACTAAGGTATTTTCAATTTCTGGCTTTCCTATGACACTATACATCGAGGAAGCTAAACATAGTGACTGGTACCTATACTCACTGCTGTACTGTGAATTCAAGTTCATGGTTTTTAATAATATAAAGAATAGGAAGTATCTAGTGCTTTCTGAAGTATTCTCAGAGGGAGCTCATGGTAACCTTTGGATGTTGTGGAGGAAACAGCATGGTTCTCTACTCCTGGGCCATGTATATACAATGAAGCCAGCTTGGTAGAATGTCTCAATAATAGAGATCATGTGTTGGAGGGGGTCAAGGGAATTACCAGTTATCCATGTGTCTATGGCTACTTAATTTCAAGTCTCATTGCTGTGGAATTGGAATTGAAGATGTAGGAGGTTCTAATTAAACCAAGCAATGTACCTTCAGGGATTCTAGATGTCAGGGAGGTAGCCAATTCCAGATTGCTGACAAAAATTGCTCCAAATTGATCTGAGTCCTCCTGGCTCATAGAGCTGTAGGTGTGGAAGGAAGAAGGAAGATCCTCTGATTTCAAGGAAATGAATGGAGTTGACCTAGTTAAGTGTTTTTCCTTCCTAGTGTAGGGAAGGGGAAGCAGACAGTTACTTTCATAAAACTTCTCAATTGAGGATGGAACTATTCTGGATTTTCCCTTAGAGAATCTACTGTTCTCCTGGAGATAGGCTGTCAATAGGTTTAGTAAAAGCATTGCATTCCTTGGGCTTTATTTTCTTCCCAGTCCTCCCATAATACCTTATATACATTTCAATTACAACATCAAACTGAGCTACAACTGTTTACCTGGTTTTCCTTCTCAATGGATAATGAGGACAGTAACTGTATGTTATTCATCTTTATATCCTCAGATCAAGGATAGACTGGCACATTACCTGTACTCAACAAATGTATGACAAGGGAGTGAATAGGAGAAACCAGAGAGAAACACTGGGTCTTCCACACTTTTTTTTTTAAATTAATTAATTAATTTATTGGCTGCGTTGGGTCTTCGTTGCTGCGCGTGGGCTTTCTTTAGTTGTGGCGAGTGGGGGCTCCTGTTTGTTGCAGTGTGTGGGCTTCTCATTGCGGTCTTGTTGCCGAGCATGGGCTCTAGGTGTGTGGGCTTCAGCAGTTGTGGCGCACGGGCTTAGTCGCTCTGTGGCATGTGGGATCTTCCCGGACCAGGGCTCGAACCCGTGTCCCCTGCATTGGCAGGGGGATTCTTAACCACTGTGCCACCAGGGAAGCCCCACACTTCTTTTTAACCCTACTCTTTCCTTTTGGTGATGATGCCTTAGACATTGAATCATTCCACATTAATATAGTATAGTTGGTAAGCATGTGTATGCCATGTGCTTAAGTTGAATTGCAATTCTGACACTTTTTAGCTATGTGATTTTGAGCAAGACTTAAATGTCTTAAATGTCTGTAGAATCAGAATAATACTTATTTCATAGGGATGTTGTGCAGATTAAATAAGTTAATGTATAGGGTCTGGCACATAGAAATTACTCTATGATTACCATCACCATCAAAGAGAGACTATGGCCAGTTTGTTATTGTTGAGTCTAGATGAGAGAGAAAACATCTGTAGTAGCAGGTAAGAGGGCCAGAATTATTGTTGTGGACAAGACTAAAGGATCTATTAACCCATCGTTATTGTGCATCCTCTGTATGATTTGATTTACCAGGTGGAAGTACGAGACTTCCTTATTCTAATTTCCTTTAGAGAAATAAATATGATTATTTAGTCAAGGGGATCCCTTTTATCTTCCAGGTGGCCAAGAGGTATCTGTTTGTGTCTGTGTGTGTGAGAGGGAGGGTAGGTATGGGTGTGGGTGGCTAATTTGAGCTGTTTCAATATCCAGCAATCGTGGAGGCAGAGAGAGAATGGAGTGTGGGAGTGCAAAAGTATGGAATGCCAACATTCTGACCAAGCCAGAGAATGCTCCAAGATTCCTAGGTGGGGCCTAGAAATTCAAGGGAAAGGAGGCACCTTATGGACAGAAAGTTCTGGAAGAAGTCTGGCACTAGAAGGGAAGACCTATTAGAGGAATGGAGGAACATTGGAGAAGAGAAAACACCTTAGCCTAGTACCTTTTGTACACAGCAGCAAAATAGTATAGTATGCTTGAAAGTAGTAGTACTGAGTGACTGTAAAATCAATATAAAATTAAAAAAAAAATTCTGGAAAGACATGACAATCTCTTGAGTCTATATTGCTCTGGAGAAATGTAGTCATTTCATATTTAGATTTCTTTCAGTTAGCATCTTTTACTTAACCTTAAGTCTCTCTATATTACCTTTTCTTTCCTTACTTTATTTGCACTCACAACTCTGCTAGAATAAATTGGTACCTGGAACTATATAGGTGTTGTTTGTCTTTCACCAGGGCCAGTTCTAAATAAGCAACAAATGAAAAAAACCCCTATAGACCCAGACCTTGATTTGAAAGATATCTTGAAGATGTACAATATGCTAAACTAGGGAAAGTCTTGGGAATAATCAGCACAATACATTTTTCTCTCCATTATAATCAGTTTTTCAGCCTCTATGTCAATAAAACTTTTTCTCCTTTTTCACAATGGTTTACAACTTAAATAATTTAATACAACAGTTATATTTTTATTGCAAGCTTATAAAACTGGAACCATAAATCTTTTCTATGCAATATATTACCAAAAAGTGACACTGGAGAAGGGGCACTGATGATTACTAAAACTGTAATTCAATCTTCAGGTTCTCAAGATGCCATAAAAATGGCTTCTGCTTTACTTGCGTATGGCAGATACTATCAGGATGCCCCAAATGAACTCTCTCTGGGTGTTCAGTCTCTCCTTTGGCATTATTTTATATACAATAAAAATTAAAATGGGACTTCACAATGCAAGTGCAACTGTGATCCAAGCCCAGTAGTTCTTTTGTCAAACAGGATTTTCTTTTATGAGTTTCATTTTGGAATTAATTTTGATATCAATGCCTGTCAGGCTGTGGAAATTGAGCTGAACCAAGTGAGTCTATTCCTATTTGAGCTGACATGTAGGAAATGGTAATTAGAAAAAAATGCAGAGAGTCTGTACTGTGCTATAGAAAATTAAACTCATCATGCCACATATTGTCAATCTGGTTAAAAGTATAGGTGTGATAAATAGAAACATACTATAAATGCCTAATCTTTCATATATTTAAAAATTTACCACTTTCACCCTGCCATATTAGTTGTCAGGAAATAATTTTCTAGTTCTAATTGCTGCTATGATCTAAAAGGTCTGTAAATTAATAACAGATTTCTGTAGTATTTACTATCAATGTTCCACAAAACTTAGGACTCTAGCATGGAAGGAAATGTATTCCTTTTAGAAAAAGATGACGGTTAGTTACTTGTACATTCTTGCCAGTTGTTGTCATTCAACAACTGAGAGTTGAATGAGAGTACGTCTGCACTCTCTTCAGTGTAAGACCAAGAAACATCAAATTCTCCAAAGCTCTTAATATGTCCAACATGGTGTGAATGAAATTGATGAACTTTTGCCTGTTAAAAATGATACTTTGCCTCTGCATTAAGGCACTACAGCAATACTTTACGAAATTCTTTTGAAATCACAGGATGAGAATAAATTAAGTGGAAGAATTGAACTTTCATAGTATGGCTGCTGAGGGACCAACACATACAGTTGAAAAGTGAAATTTCCATTGATTCCCCAGCCTGAGAGAGTGCAGGCAGCACCGTGTGAGTTTCTGCATTTTGTCTCTCAGTGAACGCAATGCTGACCCATTCCATGAGGGGTGAAAGGTCACAGACGCTATGTGAGTGGTGTTTCATTTTCACCACAACTGAGGCTGCTAATCGTGTAACATTAGGGTGAGTTACGGTGATTATAGCAGGCTGAACATGGAGATATTAAACAATAACAACAGCACACCCACAGCTGTGTTGGTAGTGATGAAAAGATGGTGCTTTCATGGCCCCATGCCAATGGGTTTGATTGGGATTCTGGAAACCTCTGGTGAAAGACACCTTACCCTCTCCAGGCTAGCTTTTTCCTAAACCACCTCTATAATAAGCAGAGTCACAATAACCCATTTTAACAGTTTTTAGTAATGGAAAGGGCTCAAAACATTCTCCTCCACAATGCTGAGGTCTCATTAGTCTACAGAGTAAACATGCATTCCAGAGTCACTGCTTTCTAGC